GGTATCCCGACATGTAGTGTTTTCTTAGCATATTCCATTCTTTGCTAATAACAATAATATTTCACCTTCTCATCTTTTTTTCTTGGTCCCCTTCTCTTATTATGTTCCTTATTCCTTTTATCATTCCACTCGTGTTGCTCTTTCTGAAGTACATAAAGAAACTCCATCATGTCATGTTGATAGTCCTTATTAGTACCCTGCACATGTTGATCATCTGTCGTTCCCTGCTCTTAGACAGAGCACCCAGGTATCTATTCACATATACAAACTGCACCCTTTTTTAAATATCAAATTCAAAATCATATGTGAGATGAAATTTAGAAAGAGACCATGATTGAACGAGGCGAGTAACGTAATCCGCCAAAATCTCGTCCTTGTATTGGCACTTGCCTGGTTTCCTAATAAGGAAATTGCCACAACTAAGGTCTAGGTTTCCATTCTCACCTAGCACATTAAAAAATCGCTAATGATTTCAAAAAAAATGTAGGGGCTTGTCATCCCCATTAAATTACCCAAAAAAAAATACCATTCATTGTAGGCTGGTGATTCCCGAGTGATTTTTGTTTTTTCTTTGCAATTTTTTTCCCTTTTTTTTAACAATTTAGGGCCAACTCATCCGTAAGTGTACCAGTTGACACTTGATTCTCGGTTTCTAAATGCTAGTTGGTCGGTGCTCGATTTAAAGGAAAAAAAGTTTCTATAAGGGAGAAGCCCTAAACAATCAAATTATGACGCAACTCAAAAATTCACTAGAAGAGATTGTTTCAATGTTGAAAACCCCTCAATTAGATCATTTCGACCTCAAGATGTATCGACATGAGAAAAAATACATTTCAAGTTTGAAAATAGTGTATCTTGTAATGTATTATCTAGACCGTCCATTTCTATAATTTTCAAGTGTTCATATATCTCCTCGATCTACAGTACTTTTGAATATTAAAATTTTATTATTAGGGATGAAAATAAATTTTAGGCCATCATAAAAAAAAATTATACTAAAACAACATATCTTTGTACTATTTGAAGCGCCTTTCTTTGGCTTTGGCCTAATATAAACGACAACGCCATTTAAAATATAATTTTTTTGCAAAAAGCTATGTTTTCTAACTGGCCAAAGTGGCTTTAATCTTTTTTTAAAAAAAAATATACTAAACTTATATTATATCGTTGGAATTGTATACTATGAGACTATTTACCTTTGGTACAGAGAGGTCACAACTATTTACAACTATTCGATGTAAAATCTAATAGCTTGGGTGCGTTACAAAGTTCAAAAAAATTTCCTTTGAATTTTGAGCTTCATAAAATAAATGCAATTTCGACCATCTTGTGCCCAAGGTAAATGGGCTCAATGTATGCTTTCCCTATATCGTTGTCCAAAACACTTCTGAAGCACTTCTTAATGTTGAGTTGAAGCTCTTTACTCGTATCTCTCTCTCTCTTGATGCAGAGTTGAAACTCTTTACTCGTATCTCTCTCTCTTGATGCATTGGACTAAAGTCCATCACTCTCTCTTCCCCCACCCCCACGCCCACAAAACAAAAAGTTTTATTTTGGTTTTATTTTTAATGTTTCAAAGCCAGTCAAAGAACCTAATTGAGTTTTACTGCTAAAACATGACATAAGTCTTATTGATTGCTCACGTTATTAACTGAAATTTTGCTTCGATTACTTGTAATTGGTCTTATTGATTACTCACGTTATTAACTGAAATTTTGCTTTTATTACTTGTAATTCATTGTTTTGACCAGTCATATGTAGACAAACTCACCCCAAAACACACATGTATATACCCAATTTTTAGAAATATCACCTTTTTTTTGTGGCATTAAAAATAGGGTGCTTGTATAGAGCCTAGGCTCTAAACAATCAAATTAGAGCCTACCTTCAAATAATGTTGAGAAATGTGGTTTCAATAGTGAAAATCTTGTGATTGCCTTAAAATATATTTTCATTTTTACTTATAACGTTTAAAGCTTCAAAACTAGTATAGATCGACAAATCTATGAAAACTTGAACATATTGAAAATTGGGGGTCCAAAAATGCATTACAAAGTACATTATTTCCAAAACTTGAAATCCATTTTTTCCTCATGTTCATGCGTCTTGATGACGAGATCATCAATTTGAAGATATTTGGGCATCAAAACAACCTCTTCTAGTGAAATTTTTGAGGTAGGATCTAATTTGATCATTTAGAGCCTCGGATCTATATACACTTTTCCTTTAAAAAGTCCTTTATATTTTACATTTTACACTCATATCCCTTTATTTGCATTTTTTTATTTTCTCAAAATGCCTCTAGACCAGAATTCCAATTTATGATCTAGGTATTTCGGGTCGTACTCCAAGTTCCAACATGATTTTTTTTTTTTTTTAAGAAAAACTAGTCGGAAGTTGGAGGTCCAACTTGGTCATTCAATTGAAAAAATTTACAAGTTTGTAAGATATAATGGGAACTTCATGTTCCAAACCAATTTCTTTTACAAAAAAAATTGTATATGAACTTGGAGTTCCAAGTGAAAAACTAGGCCAAATATAAGAAGGGATTGTAAACAATGAAACCATTCACATATTATACAAGGATACCATAATTTACATATAAGAAGGGATTGTAAACAATGAAACCATTCACATATTATACAAGGATATCATAATTTACATAATGTAAAATTTATTAGCTTGGGTGTGTTAGAGAGTTCCATAAAATTTTTCATGGATTTTGAGCTTGGTCAATAGAATAAATGCAATCATCCAATTTCATATCCAATAGTCAACATCAATTTTGACCGCCTTATACAAAAAGTAAGTGGCGTTATGATCTAGAGACATTTTGAGAACGTTTTAAAAATAAAATAGAATACATCAAATATTGTAAATGCTTTTTAGATGAAAAAATAAATATTGAAGAAAACTTACCTTATTTTAAAGTCCCTTTTTTTAAGACGAATAAGAATGCCTCTTGCCACAGTCTTTTCGGCGCTTCATAATCTTTGACCCATTTATTTCACTTCTTTTCTCCGGAAAAGATGCACACGATAGACCCTTGAATGAGATCCACTTCAAATTACTATTTGCGCCTCAACCAAAACGAGCCACCAAATATAAGGGTGGCAAGGGGCCGGGCTTGGCCTTGGCCTTGGCCTTGGCCTTGCCTTGTCCACAGGGTCGGTTCAGACTATAGTCAGCAAGTCTCCGATAAAAACACTATTTCTTTAAAAAAAATTGATTTTTTTAAATACATTTAGAACTCCGATTTTGTCAAAAGATCTTCAAAAAATCACGATTTTTTAATTGAACCGATTTAAATCCATATTTTATCCTTTTTCAAAAAAGCTTTTCAAAAAAAACTTCTTCTCTATTAATTTATTTCTTCACTAACTTAATATTATTCAAATTTGATTTAAAGATAAATACATTAACACTAGGAGTAAATTAATATTTTTTATTTAACAAAAAATTCTATCAAAAATTTTACCAATGAGTTATCCCAAAAAAATGTACGAAAAAATACAAGCAATATATTTCTCAAAAAAAAAAAAAAAAAACCAATACATATATCTTGAAATAATAGGCAGAATTAGAAGAAGAGCAACCTAATGAAAAATCTATTTTTTTCCTTGCAACTCCATAGCGTCCTTGTAAAGAGTATGAAAGAGATTCAATGATATTAAAGATTTAGGTAGCTACTCAGTGTGAGATTCAAATTTTTTGTTAGCATTTGTTGTTTTTTATTTGCATAAGAAGT